TGAAGGCTGAAGTTAAGGCTTGTAATGGCTTGTAATTCCTCTTTGAAAACTGATTGTAACTCCCAAGTCAAAGCTTTGAAATTCCTTGTAAAAGAATTTCGGATTCCAAGCTTAAATGGCTGCCATTTTGATGTATCTTTGTACTTGTACTTTTGTGTGAATGTGACAATATTTTTCGAACTAAAATCGGCTAAAATAGATCTAATAATATCTTACATGATTACATTAGTTTTCATATAATACCTAAAAAAGATGGTCAAAGTGAGATGTGTGAATAGTGCGAAAAGTCAATATTTGCAAGTAATTTGGGATGGAGGGAGTACATGTAAAGCATATCTTTGGGCAGAGGGCTAACAAGCCTTGGCAAAGAGTATAAATGTTCTTTGAATTTCTGAAAGGTCACCTCAGCGTCATCCCCAATTCAAACCTTGTCCTCTTTCCGATTGCCTGAAAGAAATAGAGGCACTTGTCACCTGATTAGCTGAGGAATCTCCCCAAATCCGCCAGATAACCGTTAAGTTTCAAGACCTCCCTTACAGTATGGGGTGACTTCATGTCTTTCACCGTCTGTATCTTCTCCATGTTGGCCTCTATCCCCTTTGATCAATCAGGAATCCGAGTGTAAGGAGGGTGTTCCCATCGTAGGGGATCTTCTCCTTAGATGCCCATTGGCCCTTTAGAAGCCTAGGACTTTACACTTGTTAGGGTGTATTAGGATTTGAATTCCTGACAGTTTGGGGGACCTTGAATTAGAACTGATCTTGTCATCACGCTTTTTTATAAGAAACAAGTAGGAAGTCGCCAATGAGTTTTAGGAAAACTCATAAACCTCGTTCATGCCTTTCTCCCATGTGGAGTTCATGGGATAATTATTAGGAATCGTAAATTTACCCATACCCAAATTGGTCTACATAAACCATAAATGAGTTCGGGAGTGAGGGTACTAAAATAAATAACGTTCCTTTTAGAGAGGCATCGCTATTCTAGCCCTAGTGCGGCCTCTACTAGCTCTTCCTTTTTCACAATTTCATCACCAAATAATATATGCAACGCGATACTTAAAACTAAGTTAGTTGATTTTATTTACACACATTAATCATGTAAGAATTACATTGCAAAAGTCGTTATTCTTATTCGTGAAAGAATAATAAATAAACAATATTCGCCTTGTCTTAAGTGATAAAACAACAATTAATTATTCAAATTCTAGTCTTGATTAACAAAAGAATACTATGTGAATTAATTAATTAAAAGTTTGTTTAAAGTGATCAAACAACACTAGTTAATCAATTAAAGTTATTTAAACAATAAAGGAAAAAGTGATTTATCTAAGTGCTCAGGAAACTAACTGTTCTTCTTTTATGTTAAATCTCCGTTTAATGTGGTTATGGACTTTCTTTCTTCTTCGTACCTCCAAGGACTTTAGTGGATTCAATTAGGGTTGGAAATTATTTGAAAAGGGAGAAGAAAAATTAGTATGATAGTAAGAGAAGTTGAGAGATTAGGGTTTTGTGAATACTAGGGTTTTAATTCTGAATTTTCGGTCCTAGTAATGCTGAACGAAGACCCCTATTTATAGGTGTAGGGATCTAGGTTTAGGGTTTTAGATCTGCGCCGTCAGGTGGCGCGCGCAACTCTCTTAGTCGCGCTGGGTGCCACGCGCATCTCAATGAGTCGCGTGCGCCAGGCGCGCGCAACTGATTGAGTTGCGCTAGATTGCTGTTTGCCTTATACGAAAACGCGTTTTTTAAAACTTCCATAACTTTTTATTGCAAAGTAGGATTAAGGTAGACTAAAATATGTTATGGATAAAAAGTTATGGTCGTTGGAGTGTAAGGCTGTCGGTTTTAGAGCCCGGTTTAGTGTTTTGATCATAACTTCTTCGTTTTGGCTCGGAATTGGGCTTATAATAAACCATTGGAAAGCTCTTTGGAAGGGCTATCCATCTGTATAGGCCTTTCATGGGAATTTGATGGTTGGTATATTTGTTTGTCTTGGTTTTCAACAATGTAGGTTCCATTAAATCCAATCATTGCATTTGCCGCATTTGGGTCCGTTATTAATCAACTTTAAACATGTATGAATATGTTTTAGGCCTAATTAGTAATTTTACAAGGCTCTAAGATAAATTGGTCTCAAATATGGGTTTCAACTTACTTCATAATGCATTTCGTAGTCCATAAACACTTCAACTTTGATCTAACATGAAGAACGGATTTTTGTAACATTATCGCACTTACTTTCGGGACAAGAGGACAAAAGTAGATGTCTACAGTTAATCCCCACTTTGATCGAGTCTAGAATAGACGATGATCAAAGTAGTCAAGGAAATAAATCTGAGACTCATTCTGCGAGGTTCACAAAGAATAGAGAATCTTTCAGAAATGTTAAGGATGTAGAAACGATGCTTGATTCGCTAAGTGTTTGAAACAAGTAGCTATTAAGGCTAGAAAAAGTATTTTCTATGTCTTAACACGCTAAAGAATCTAGATTTATCCTTTGCATTTGTAGAACACTTTTACATGTAAAGGTGTTCTGGGTGATGTCATGTCATGAGAAGAGATCGGTTTAAAAGGATTAAAAGGGGATGATGTCCTCCCAATCATGTCATCATTGGTCTAAAGTCCCTCAATATGTCATTGAAACTTTAGTCGGACTTTAACAAAGTAAAAAGATGAAAAAGGTGTTTTTGGCATTCGAGCCTAAACGTTTAGGCATTCGAACCTAAATGTTTCGGCATTCGAGCCTAAATGTTTCGGCATTCGACCCGGATGTCCACAAGATAGAAATGCATGTCTCGGGACTTGAGGCACATATCCAAATCCAGTGAGAGAGAAGAAAGTCAGCAACTCTCTCAGCAGTTTTGTCCACAAGATGAGTACACGTGTCTCAGGACTGGGGGCACGTGACTACATAGGTGCGACATCGTCTCGTCGCTCTTTATACAGAGGGTGGACGGACACCCTAACTGTCCGGTAAGCCAGTAAGCTCACTAACTACCGTATTTGCTTCCAATCAAGAAGTGTTCGTTCTTGATGGTTCGGCGCACCTGTCGACTCGTGAGCTAACGCGTAAAGTAATCCTCTACCTTTTAGTTCTGAGAGGTAGATCTCGCAAAGCTTAGGCTGAAGTGAAATTTGACGCAACACCTACGCCATACAATTTTACGTTGTATGATACGCCTTGCATTTTTACGTTGCATAATGACACCTTCCTCTTTGCTTTGGACGTGAAAAAAGAAGAAAAGTCGGACATTTATAACGTCAGTACAATAAAATGACAAACCTGTCAATGGGAGCTTTTACGTAAAGCACCACCACATAACGTCTTAAGACACTTTTACGAAAAACATTCAAAACATATGCTTAGGGAAGACACAAAGCACGGTGTGCATGAAAAATGATGCAAAAAAACTATCAAAGAAGAAAAGAAACTACTGGATGCAATGCAATTGTAAAAGATTTCGATAATTCACGCATTATTACGTCTAACAACATACAAACCCATTGAGAAAAATTCAAAACGGATCGAAATCTGAGTATTGTTCTTTTAAGTGACCAGTGTTCGCGCGCAACTCACTAGGTCGTGTTAGCCAAGCGCACACAAGAAACTGGGTTGCGCTGGGATGCCACGCGCAACTTAATAAGTTGCGCGCAACATTTGAATTAGTAAAAGATTTGGAGAAGCGCGATTTGCAGCTCACTTTCTTCTTCACCTCTTTCTCCAATTTTGATCTCTTTCCATTTTTAGTTGTTGTTTGAAGCTAAGGAAAGTAAATCTTTCTCCTTTAATTCTACCAAACTTTGATCTTGGTCAATAAATGGAGAAATCGAATTGGGGTTTTCAATTCGATTTGTCGTCATGAATTTGTTTGTTTGTTGTTGTGACATCTTTAAGCAATATATTGCAACAAATTTCATGTGAAGTGATAAAGTATTGATCTTGTATGAGCATGTCAAGCATATATGTGTTTTTGTTCATTCTAATTTTGACTTTGTGCTTGATCTTTATTACTCTTTTTTTGCTCACATAGACTATACTTGTTAATTTTAATGTAAATTGAAGTGTTTAGAACAACAATTATGCATTAAAATTATAAATGAAATTTTGAACTTTTATAATAGCATTTACGACTCTTTTTATTTCATGCGTAAGTTGCAAAATTGGCTTTATCAATGATAAAAATAACCGATGGTTATTATTATTCACTTATAAAACTATGATTTCAAGATTTGCACAAAACTAGTTAGTTTAGGAAATTCTTTAAGAGGTCATCGAACTGGTGTAGCTTGGCTATATTTCGGGTTCGTAAGCCCCCATTTTATCAGGTCCTGGAATCGATTCTCACCACTAGGACTGTTCATCGGTCTAAGACCGGAGAAAAGACCGAAAATTAGAATTTTAAGAACCGCAGATCGAATTGGTTAAGCTACAACCAAACCCGAACCGGACCGAAAGAATCGGTACGAAACCCCGATCGAACCGTTTCGGACCGATTTAAGAATTTTCTAATAATCTTATGGAAAACTCGAAAAAAAGTAAAGGAAAATCTATACTTTAACGTCTTTTTATTTTTATTTTTTTAGTACAAAAAAAGCTCATAAATTTAATGTTTTCAAAATTTATTAAGGATAATTTTAACCATTATTTAAAGGTTTCACGCATATTTTTAATTAAAAAAAAAAACATGATCCAAGACCGAAGACCGGGGAAATAAATTTCTAGACCCAAAGACCGGACCTATTAATTCGGTCTAGTCCGGGGTCGGTCCAAGGTGGTCCGGTCCATTTTATCGGTCCGGACAGATTTGTGAACAACCCTACTCACCCCACCCTTGTGTTGTGGCTCTCTAAACCCAAAAAAAAAAAAGACACGAGACATAATCAAGAGTACTAACTACAACATGACAACTATGTAAAGCTTAAGTTTGGATGACATGTAGCACACAGTTGCAGTGAGAATCACAGCTCTAAAATAGACATTTCAAGCGACAATCAAACTTGTGCCAACTTGGCCATTAGCCCATTACCCCAAATAAATAAATAAATACACTTACAAGTTACAATCAGCAACAAAGTACAGCAAAGGACAAGATTCACAATATGGTGCAGGTACGACGCATAAAAAATGGTGTACCGTGTAGTTTTACATATAAACTACATACATAGAATTGACTGATGCAACTGAAATTTCAATACATCACTCGGTAGTACAAAATTATTGACGGAGAGATCTCGCTTGATCCACACAAGGCACAGCGAGATAGCTGCAATTCTTCTGGAATCAAAAGCACATTTTTTTTCGTTTCAACGGTAAGTACTGATATGAATAACATGATACATTTTACGATGAGAAATAGAATTCAGGAACTAATGGCACACAATTTACACAGTAGGAAAAGAATATGAATGATCAGGACAAACAGTTTCATGCAAAACCATTATATCTCAAGGTCATCCAACGAAAGTTCGCTTGAAAGCAGCTTCAATTTCTGCACAAAAAAACATAAGTGATAAGTTGAATTGACAAATAGACAAGGTGATGCACCACGAGAAACAAAGAAGTGCTAAGTTGAATTGACAAATAGACAAGCTGATACACCACGAGAAATAAAGAAGTGCTAACCCATCAAGTACCAGATTTGAGAAATAAAAATAACAATTAAAAATGAAGCCATGAGTTCTTACTGTGATAAATTGTGGAGGATCATCAACACTAGAGGAGCCCAAAATGACTTCCCTGTTCAACTTTGTCGTAAGCTTGTGGCAAGCTCGCAGCTGTAAGAACCATAGATTTTCAGCTACAAATCAAAACCACTAAAAGAATTGCAATAGCATAAATGCACCAAACTTCACTTACCTCCGATCTAGTAGCACCACCCACAATAAATACAAAGATACGCCTGCCCATCTTCTTAAAATCACTAGAAGCGTGTCTGAGAATGGAATCACTAAACACAAAAAGAAAAACAAATTTAAATTATAAATTTCAAAAGAACACAACACTCGAGAGTACAAGGAAAATATGAATTGAGCCACCCTAATTTCGGATAATAGGTAATTGGAAGAGAGTTAATATATACACTAATTTCGGATAGAGTAATATGGAGGGAAAGGGAGAGAAGAGATAGTGAGGGATTCATCTTTCCCAGGTTTAATCTGAATCAGGAAGGTATTAAAGATATCCATTTTCTTTCCCTATTATTAAATCAAATGAATCAAACACTTCCATTGTTGGAAACATTTTAAAGGTAAATGAAAGCTCACTCTTCCCTACCCTCACCTCCCTTTTTTCTCTCTCTTCTTCCCTCCCTCCATTTCCTCCACAATAGCTATCCAAACATGACAAAAGTAGACAGGGAACGGAAATGTATATGAACATATAAGGAAATAACGAACAACTGCATTTAATAGTCTGACCTCTAGCAGAGACTAGAATAGCCAGACAACCATTAGAGGATTTGACTTGTTCAATAAAATAATAATACTCCATTGCCCAAAAGCATGAAAAAATATTAACAAAGTGGTCAACTACAGTAACCTACTATTCAATAGAAAATACCAAGTGTTACCTCGAATAACCATCATCAGAATTACGAGGTCGAGAAGCCCATGTTGGGGTACGTCTTGACCTCATGGAGTGTGCAACTGGGGTCTCAGTATATTGTATCGCAGCAGGATGTGTAGCACCATGAGATGTAGGACTTGGGTCATTCATACATGGGTACTCATTCTTAGGAAGCTCACCTTTACTGAGTTTTTCAACAAGTTCCTGGAAAGATTTATTGGGTCAATCTCCCTTACTGTACTTAGAATATATACACATTTTATAGATAAAATAAGTAAATTGCCACAATGATACAAACATTCAATAACTAAAACCACCATGACATGTCATCTAAGGTAACAATGTACCTTGAATACGATGACAAGTGCCCCCACAAACTCAAAGAAACCCAAAAATCAAAAAAAAAATAAAAATAAAAATAATAATAATAATAATAATAACAACAATAATAATAATAAAGAAAAAAAAACACAAGGTAAAACAGAACAAGCTACAGGAAAAATTGCCCAGAATAATCCCACCTTTGGTCCGTCCGCTAAAAATAATCCCACCTTTGGATTATTTTTAAATAATCCCACCTTTACCCACCCATCTTTTTTTAAGGTCCCATTTTACCAGGAACCGGTTAAGTAAGTAATTTTTTTTTTTTTTAAGTTTAATTTTTTTTTTTTGAAAGAATTTTTTTAATTTTAATTAACACATGTAGCTACTTGATTGGTCAAAAATTAAAAAATAACAAAAACAAAAACAAAAACAAAAAAGTAGTAATAAAAAACCACCGCCACCTAAGCCACCACCACCCACACCCAAACCCTACAACCACCATCCCCCTAGACCCGAAACCACCGCCACGAAGATCGCGCTGACCGGAATCCCACCCACCCAACCAACCTAACCCCATTAACCCAACCATTCGAAAACCCACCAAACTAAATTTGTAAATCCCAGAAAACAGGTTGAATCAAGCAGAGGAGTTCGACGTAGGGTAATCGGGGGACGGGGGAGGTTGGCTGGGCAGAATCGGGGGATGGGGGAGGTCGGCGAAGCCAAATTAGGGGACGGGGGATGAGGGAGGTTAGTGACGGCGTGACGCCGGAATCGGGGCGGGGGAGGTCGCTGAGACCAGATTCGTGGATCAAGGAGTTCGGCGAGCTGAGGCCGGATTCCTGGGCCAAGGAGTTCAGCGTGGCCGGATTCATGGATCAAGGGTTTCGGTGTGGCCGGAATCCTGAGATAATGGAGGTCAGCCCAGGATTGGTGGTAGAGGAGGTAGGCGTGGCTGGTAGGTGGTTTGGCTTGTGGTTAAAATTAATTAATTGATTTTTTTTTAATTTATTTTTTTTTAAATTTTATTATTGGACCAATTAGGCGCTAACATGTGTCAATCAACTTGCTATAACAAGTTAACCGACCGGTAGGGACCATTAAAAAAGATGAGGGGGTAAAGATGGGATTATTTAAAAATAATCCAAAGGTGAAATTATTTTTAGCGGACGGCCTAAAGGTAGGGTTATTCCGGGCAATATTTCCCAAGCTAAAATGAATAAATCAGAACACAAATCCTTTCTCCTGGTTTCAAACAAGATCGTAAGCAATCTTCAATGTTCAAAGCATCTTAACGATTTCATAAACAAATCACCAAAGTCATGAATTAACGAAGCAGACTTTCTTCTACAAGACACATGACACATTATGCACACCTCAACCATTGGATAAAATCGAGATAATTGCCACGCTGTTTCTTCTCCAACACGTTCCTTTCTGACTCCATGTTTTTTCTGATTACAAAAAAAATTTATGTGAGGGGGAGAAGATGCAGTCAGAACAAGACATAGTAAGAACAAAGAAATCTTTAAGAAAATGGCACACCTTATTATCAAATTTTAACGCAAAAGCTCCTATAGAGCTTTTCTTTGTTTCAGGATGTGTGCCAAGCAGTTTCATATTATTAACTGCATTTGTATCATCTGATAATAACCCTGCTAGCTGAAGAAATCAAGAACCAAATAATATAGTTAACTAAAACTGAAAGTAAAAATCTAATTTTAAAATGTAGAAGACTTGAAACAGTGAAAACATTTTTGCACCAATATGATAAAAACTTAACCTACTTCCCCTTTTTTTTCCCCTCTTTTCTCACTTGTCAGGCAAGTAGCACACATAAACCCCTCTATCCAGCAAAAATAAAAGGCAAAATTGTGACAAATTGACAAAGGATCCTCTCGTGACAAATAAGAGATGAAACAGCCATAGTGATTTATAAATATAACACATCTGCAAGTGCTTTGCAAGTCATATAAACTTATACCCACCCTTCACCTACCCCTAAACAGACACAAAGGAAGAGAAAACTTTATGCTAAATTGCTAATCAGTATCACACAACGTGTAACTTTCATTGAAACAACTTTCAGAAAGAAAATTTAGCATACATTCAATTGTGGAGAAAATATAGAGGCAATGATGTAAAAAATCCTCCCAAAAAAGTTCACTCTCATTTTTCGTAATTAATAATAGGATTAAGTACCCAGAAGCTTTCCAGAACACTCACCCTCTACTTTACATAGAAATCCAAAACAGTCTACCATGACCATCAAACCACTGGGGGTGAAAAATGTCACACAGGAAATGGCATGGCTAGGGAGAGGAGGTGAACCGTGAACGTGCTTGGACAGCAGCGACAGTGGAGGGTGTGTGACTATAGGAAAAGGAGGATTTTAAGATATTGTCCAGAAATTTGATTGCTTTTGAATATTTTCACTCTTTAAGAGAACACTTGGAAATTGAAAACAGGAAACTAAAGAATATGGAAGACAAATTTTTGACTAAACGCACCCTTAAAAAGTTTCCAGCTCCAACACAAACACTTAACTGCATAATTCTGAACCCTTTTATCACCCTCAATTGGACTAGACTGTGACAGGAAGAAGAGGGAACTCAAACTTATTCTAGGGCTTTTTATAGCTATAAATATTTACATTCTTTAAAAGAACTTGGAAACTCGTAACAGGAAAACAAAAGAAAATGAACGGCAGAGAGAGAATATATAAATTTAACAGAACACACCCAGTATATTTTTTTTCAGCAGTAATACAAACACTTACCTGCATCAACTGTGAACCTTTGTCACCCTCAAATTTCTCAGGGTAAATAGCCGCATAAACCATCAATAATCGCAACTTATTTTCACGGCTCAAATCCTGTCAAAGGGGCTTCTACATTGTCAGAAAAGTATTATAATCTTCAAATTAGAAAAAAAAGTTGCATAATTCAGATCACAAAGTCCCTACCGTATGCGTGCTTAAAAATTTGATAACTTCTTTAGTTCCAGCATCACCAAAGACAAGATCCTGTTCCAGTTTTCCAACCTCCCTAAGTTTTTGCTCTCTTATGATACGGTTTATTTTTCCAGCAATCTGTAGGACCAAATTGAGTTATCATAAGCACCATGGAAAAAAAAAAAAAAAAAAAAAAAAAAAAAAAAAAAAAAAAAAACATTACAATTATCTCCATTCTCTATCTAACAGCATATAGTTGGGCGAAAAAAAAAAAAAAAAAAAAAAGAAGAGAGGATGAGGATGGACCACTTGAACCATGGGATTATGTTAATGGGAGAGAAACCATTGGACCAATGGCAAGAATGTCATATTAGGTGTCAAAATCGAAATTGACATGAAAGACGAAACTTGCAAAGGAGATAAATGTTGCGACAGAAAAAGAACAAAGGAAATATAATGGATAACTTTAACATTTTTACGATTTGACAATGTACATTAACTTCAGTTTTGCATTAATTTCCATACCATAGCAGTACTCAGATAGTGTAATGGTCTAAACTAAGATACATTGTCAGAGCTCTGATTATGCGACCACTAACTAGTTTTCTGAATTTAGAGAGGAATATTTAAAAAAAATGCAAAAGATTTCTACTACCATAGATCTGGTTCTATAAACAAGAATAAAGTTTGCATCGCCATGCTAAAAGAGCCTATCAAAGAGTAACTAGATCTTATAATAGCCCCATCTGCAATGTCACCTCCAACCTATCCTTGATGAATAAAAACTTTCGCTAACATTTAGGGGCTAAGGCTTTGTTGTTGTTGTAGATTAAAGCATGTAACACCACCTCTGGTTGGGAATCAAACAAATACAATAAAACCATGAGCACAAAGCAGCGAAGAACCCAATACTTGCACCACCACTTCGAAGAAGGAAGGGAAGAGGGGCGCATGTACAAAAGGAGAGAGACAAACAGAAGTCACCAGAGGGGACAACGGACAGCAGGGCAGACTCGGCAGAGGACAAAATTACTTAATGATACACAAAGGGGAGGTGACACAACCCACAAGAATATTGCAAGTCTGATATAATAGAGACAAAAGCTAATTGATGCTAGGGTATTCTTGTATTGTAGTTGCTCGAGTATATAGATATAGAGATTGTAACTCAGTAGTAAGCTATTATGAGAGTTTGTAAGAATTACTTTTAGGAGATGAGATTAGTAGCCTTCATCTACTAGGCAAGAGATTGATAGCCTCAAGCTATCCGTTTGAATTTTGGTTATTATTAGTCAAACACCTCTAGCTTTCACCTTTAATCTTGTTGTTTGTTCTTCAACTTACAGATCAGAATACTAGTCTATTACATTAGTATTCCAGAAGGCAAAGAAATTTCATTTGGGAAATCAGCAGAAATAGACCGTGAAAAAAAACTATATAATGAGCATACTCCAATCACGCATATGAACCTCTAAATAATAGGCTAAGAAGCCAATGAAACATCCCATGAGAAAGCTTGAGGCAAATAATCTAATTCATATTTTCCCTGAAACAAAATTTCCATCAATGCTTTGCAACAAACGTGCTTTTTTATTTTATACTAGGTGTAAGTCGCACAAGTTCTGAGACTTCATCAATAAGGAATGAAACAAACGAAATGAACATTTTCAAGGCCATTCTCATGAAACGGACACCAACTCCATCAATAGGGAATAAACAAACAAAATGAACATTTTCAAGGCAATTGTTCATGAAACGGATACCAGCTCCAGAACAACAATTATAAAGGCGGTCATAAAAGCAGCCACAAAAAGCTTGGTGCTTGCCCATCTGAAAACTAACCTCAACATGCAGAGAAAGCTTGTCAATTTGTTCACTATATTGGGGCAAAGCTTGAACCATCCTTTGCAACTCACGTGTTGACAATTCACCACTTTCTCTGAAAAATGATTCAAGCTCAAGGGTAAGATACACATTGAAAAAAAAGTCATAGTAAAGGACTAAAAGCAGCTCAACAATTACTTATATACCAAAATGCAGCTATGCCCAACCCCAAAGTAGTTTAAAATAGATGTAAGCTTATATGTTCATAATATGAGCCAACAAATATAACAATGTTCAAGGTCAAATCAATATCTATTTTTCACCCCTCACTTCCCTATTATTATGGTGAACTTCAAAGCCTAGCGGTATTCAAAGAGATACAAAAAAATAGTCAATGGCACAACTATGAAATTTCAATTAGAAAGCCTTAAAAATAAACAACAAAGATTCAAAAAACATATACATATTTTTTACTACACAAGCTCAAAATTGTGCTTTTTGAATCCACTTTCACTTGAAACTTTTTTTGGATCATAGAAAATGGAGAGAAAGGAAGGGAAGGGAAAGGGAGGGTAACAAGTTTTCCTTGTTTAGAGAAGGTAGGGAAAAGAAGGGGAGGGAAAGGGAAGAATCTATTTAAACACCATCTCCCCAAAATTGAAGAGAATTAAAGGGAAAATGAACTCTACCCTCCCCTTTCCTATCTTTCCCATCCCCTTCCTTTCCTTTCGATCTTGCTATCCAAACAAAGTGTGTCAAAATACCAAAAAGTTGCACCTAATTTCCAAAATTTGGAGATCAGAATCAAATTATAGATCATAAACCATCCGACTAAACTACAATCACAAACAGCAGAGTCCTACGTATCGACATGAATCATCTTTCACCCATCCCTCAAAGAAAGCATGTTTCCACTATAAGAGACTTTCCACTTGAAAGCTATCATAAATATCTCACAAAATAACAGTTGAGGAAGGCAGTTGTTCTTTTGACTCACTGGCATAAGATCAACAGCTAACCTTGAACTATGATGGATTTGCGCGGCTTTGTTCTTTGATACAAAGTTGGTCATTTTCTCGTGTAGTCGTTCGCTAGCCTGACACCACAGATTAAGATCAAAATATATTCACATCTTAATCGAACAATAAATTAAGGATAGAACGCACATCAGCTATATGTAGATGTCGAAGCTCACACCAGATAGGATCATGCTCCTCCAAAAGGACCTCCTTTTTCTCTGGAGGCCCTCCAGTTTTGCTTGGAACCTGAACAGTTTACTCTTTAGATATATATATATGTATAAATATGAAAACAATAAAATAGAAGAAAAAATGCAGAATTAAAAAGCAGGGGACTATGAACATTTGATACCTACAACACACCTCATAAACATACTTATTCCCTTCCAAAAACAGAAGGTCATGGCACATAGCATCATAAGTCCACTCATGTATGACAGGAGCAATCTGAAAAATAGAGTGGCAAATATACTCAATAGGTAAAGAGTAACAATTATTGGATCTAGCATAAAATCAAGCAACAAACTTGTATACCTGATCAACAGATCGATCTAGAACAAGCAGCTCACAAGTTTCTGTCTGGGGAAAGTTAGCAATGCTTGTCTTATATTTTGTCAGATGATTCCAGATTCCAGCAGCTAGCTTTGTAGGAACTAAATCACGATAGGTGGTCATTGTGTTGGTATCAAGAGATTTAGCAGCACGGTAACGAACAAAAGGAAGCTCCTAAAGGCAACACAACGTGAGCTAAAAACTTTTTAACATATCCTAAATCATTGGTAGAACGATATATATACCCTCATAGAAGCAAACGCTGTAGCAGCTCGAGCAGCCATTATACTTAAACATGCGTCAGCTTTACGGTGATTCTCGTCATTTCCAAAGAGCTCCTCCATAGCCATTCCATTATCAGTGACAAAACCCTAGACAATTTACAAACTATAATTAGGCTTTATTAAATAAACGAGACAAAAATAGGGGACAACATCCGTAAATAGAACAGTCAAAACAAATAAGAGCTAGTGTGTTCGAAAACAACTGTATAGGAATTTTGAACCTATGTTGCAATAAGCTACCTATCAGACACATAGCCGCAAGAATACAAATAAATTCTTTGCTCTTCGGGATCACTGTAACTTAGCCTTAACAAACCTCTTAGATGGGGACATAATATTAAGTTCAACTAAAATAACTATTAGTTCAAATAATAATCAGTAAAAATTTGGATTTCTTTTCTTCAATTTATTCAAATAATATTCAATTAAATAATAAGTAGAGCCAGTAAAAATAAGTTCAATTTAGTAACCTTTAAGAACATATATAAATTAAAAGAGGATACACCAAATACAAACTTTTTGTCTCTCCTCCAAACTCTCTGTTCTCTCTCCTCCTCCAAAACAAAGCTACTGCCGGAAACCTAGGGTCTCGTTGGAGTTCTGGCATCACGACTGGTTCTCTGACAAGCATCCCCATAATTTTCCTTTATTTTGTGGGTAAATCTTCCCTGATTCAGATTCTCGTCCCTTGTCGTAGTCGAGCTACCCACCTCTTTAAGTCTCTTGCAGTTCCATCGACGGTGAAAAGGAAGCAGAGCCAAGCCAACCTTACACCAATGATTACCACCTCCATTAAGGTTCAACCTCGTTTCGCCGGCAAGTACCTTCTTTTGTTTGGTCAATTAGAGAAGGTTCTTTGGCTTGTTAACCTCGTTGGAAGTGTTCGGTGTTGTTAATTTCTTTAGTTCAAGGTTTGTGGACTTGTGTTCCCTTATTTTGTTCATTTTATGGAAGCATATTATTTGCTCTTTATGGCATTAAATATCTAGCTACCAGTGTTGTTCTTTGTTTTTCTGTTCTTATTTCAAGTACAATAGATGTGTTTGAGGAATTAGGGGGGGGGGGGGGGGATTTGTGTTTTGCTCAGTTTGAAAAGGAGGATTTCTCTTCTCATAGGTTAGAGATAATAGTTAGGGAATTGGAGAATCCTTTTGGTATTCTGAAATTTGTTAGGAGTTTAAAAGATGAGGGTAACTTATTGTACAAGCAAAGTAATATGATTTTAGCCATTGCAAAATACTCTTGCACTCAAGATCTTGTCCTTTGTTCTGGTTTGTAATGATGATGATAAATCAGTTTTTTCAAGCCTTGTTGTGTCTCTTAATTTGATCTTGGGGGCATGTTATGTCAAAGAGAGGAACTTTGACAAGATTAGTCAATTGTGCTAGGCGGTGTTTTGTTACGATAACTCAAATGTGAAATCTTACTTTAGAAGAGCGATAGAAGCTTTAGAGCTAAACAAACTTGAATTAGCTTTCATGGATTTTTCGCAAGCAATTAGGATTGATCCCAACAACAAAGAGTTTCAACAAAAACTCAAGAAGGTGACCTCTAGATTAGGTGGTCTCAAAATATTGTTGATGATGCACTTGTGGTTACAACAGAGGATGAGAGGTTTAGATACTTTGTTCGATTTGTGAAGGAAGGAAAATAATTATAATAAAAAAAAATAATAATAAAAAAAGGAAAGGAAGGAAGGAAAGAAGGAGATTATCATGAAAATGGGTATGTACGTAGATGTATTGGTGTAAAAGATGAATCCAAAGTGGAAAAGAATCTTTGGATTTGAAAGGTAAGGTCAACTCCTTCGATCAAGATGAAAGGCCCAACGTTATTGATAACATTTCTGTTTTGAAGTCAACTACAGGAAAAGAAAAAAAAATCTTAAAGGGTCAATTCATCGGTTTTCAAACCGAAAACAAATTGAATCCTATTTGCATCTCACCCCGACAATGTATGGGGCGGTTTCCAAGGGATGAACACGACTGTACTATTGTTCTTCCCGAAAGAATTTTATCAACATTCGAGTACTTGATCATCCAAAGAAGAAGGATAGTGCTGAAACTCAAGAAGTTTCTACACCGATAGAGATAAGTCACCCCTATTTTGAAGGGCATCATTGGTGTGAAAAAATTCTCCAATCTTGATGCAAGACCCGACTATAGGTGTAGTCACTCATGCGTCATCATGCAGTCGAAATCTACTACGAACCCCAAAACGTACTCCTCTTAGACGTTGAAGATATATGCCTCCTCCCACTGCTCCAGAGTTCGAAGGAAAATTGTTTGTCAACGAAAACTCCCTGAAGTATTACTAACTCCTTATTTTGCTAGATGAGTGGCTCTAAAAGAAGAGCATCATGTTCCTCCGAAAGCATTTGGTTCCCCTATAAAAAAAAAATGTATGGTCCTACCCTTAATGTTTTAGTGTAACTTGTTTTATAATTAATATAATGCTTTTTCCAATGTAAAAAAAAAATTAAAAAAAAAGAAAAAAAAACATATATAAAAAAGAATCGGTAAAAAACTAACAATCAAAGTTATCATAAACAAGATTCAACTATGAATCAAAAACGGTTTTCAAAATTGAATCGTAAAATCAATCGAACATGCATAATCAAGACGCCATACTCAAATTTCATTGAATGCGTTTATATTATATTATAGTTGTGAAGCCAATAATTGACAAATTATATGATACAAATAACTTTATAGGCATATTTTAAACTTGTAAGGTATTCGCTAGGTAAGAGAAATATGAAAAAATTGGGTAGAAAAGTAAATCGAATCATAAGGCCATACATTAATTGTAAAATCATAATTTTCTAAGATTTAAATCGCAAATTCTATAACCATGCTTACAATAATCTAAGATAAGTAAAAAATATTTTAAGTTGAGTACATATAATTTAAGTTCAATACAAAAAAAAATAAAAAAAATCAAATTAAATTAAATTCAGTACAAACAATTTTACTTCAATAAAAAAATAATATAAATTCAACAAAATCAAGGTTGAGAGAACATGTCCTTAGTCACTACAATTCCAACAGATTTTATAGAAGATAGATAAAAGTATTTATCACATTTATCACAAATTATTAGCAAGAAGAAAGATACTACGGAGTACTATATTAAAAACCATATGCTAAGCTACAGATAAGTGAACAAGAAGTCAAACAATCTTATAAGATGGCCCAAATGGCCCAAAAAAAGTGTAAGATGGAAGGATAGAGAGAGACCAAATTTAATCAAAATGATTAATGTAGGTATCGGTAACAAATATAGCAGAAACAAAAACAAGTTAATAAGGATTCAACATTATTCACCTGTCTATCAAAAGAAAAATACTCCAGATTCATCTGCAATTGATAACAAAAAAGCAATTATACATCTTTTAGGTAACTCAAGAACCAATAAAATCAATACAATACCCAAAAACAAAAAGACAACCTCACTCAATGCACCTATTCGAGGCAAAACTGTGGCATCCTTCTTGATAAGACCAACCAATTCTCTAGTAATAGGTGAACTAAAGAAAACAAAAGCTCTAGTCCCAAAAAAAGAGGGAACAAAAAAGTAAATTAGATGGATAAAAATAAAGGAACCTAAATCACATTTTTTATATCCAAGGTTCACAATAAAACAAAGAACAAAAGAAGTGTTTATAAAGATGACATTTATAAAAGAATTGGAACTTACTTCTTGTATAAAGGCTTTTTCCCAGCCATATCAGACAAAAACATGATAACACTGAAAATTATCAGAAAAATAAAAGGGAAAAGTTAAGAATGTACATGCCACTCTATTATATAAAGTGTTAACACACAATATAATGAAAGAGCTTATAGCATCAGGGAGAAAAGGGGGCAAAGAATGATAAGAAAAAATGCAAATTAACACCCAAGGGTTTTCTCTTTTTATTTTATTTTTTTTTTTTTTTTTTGTTGGTGAGATAAAACACATTTGCGACTCATTTTTCTAAAATGTCACTGATATAAACTTATTTCATGTGTGCCACTATGTTTAACAACTAGTTTCAAAAGCACCATTATTTTTCTAATACTACATATTACTGTCTTTGCTTATCATTCCCTTCAAATTATTTTAGTAAGAGGCCTTTTTATGGGGAAATGTTCTTTCTTACAATAAACATAATCATATTTGAATTACATATACTATGTGTTTAAATTTAAATCCCTGAGTCCACAACTTAATATGAACACCTATTAATGCTATCCCCATCTTCAGTTACAATGTTTTTTGATCCATACCCAAGCTTAACATAATTATCTGAATGCAGCCAACAGAAGTTCGGGCAAGCCAAATTGATTCAGTCCATTGTATTCCGAAAAACAAAATATATTGTTCTTAAACTCCATTAACAAGAGAGAATTCTACAGAAACGTAAATCAGCTCCAAACTGTGAAGAGAAAGCACTTAATGTTATCCAAATAATCATATCGCAAAACAGCTTGTCTCAAGCATTCATCTAGATTTGTGACCTCTTTCTTAAAAGCAAGAAACACAATATACGGCTTCGAAAAAATGGGGCCAAGAATAAGACAGAAAAACGAAAACACACATCATGTGATGGTCCTGACTAAGCATCACCGCTAAAAAGTAAGGTGTTCGGGACCTTATGCACAAACTAACCACCAAGACTGCACTGGTTATTGAAGCCAAAAACAGCATCATTGACATACACTTCTCCCCTAAATTCTAATACTTTAGCTCATCCTGCATGGACTCTTAGCCTTTTTCTTTGTGGTTCTCTTTGTACCCAAGTCCACAGGAACAACGTTTTCTTATATTAGTTCAGTGTCCAGCTCTAGCTTTAGAGTACTATGATTTATAATGTCAAATATGACATTTAAACTAATAGTCAAAAGTCATCACCTCATGGAATAGGGACAAAGAAGTATGAGAATATTCAAAATTTGCAGTTACACTGATGGCATGGCAAACATAAACTAAGGTTTTTTGCTCACTAACAGCCACTGCAATAAGAAACTGGCCATGAACATGTATAAAAAACAACTAAAAGATGTAATAGACTAGCCAAGGGGTAGGGGTACTATTGGTCTGACAATATTAGTTCGTTAGAGTTAACTTGGAGCCTGTATATAGTGCCTGACAATATTGATCAGGGGGATTGTCATAATTAAGAGCCTGGAGGAAGTCCGAAAATGCCTGTATATAGTGCCACTGAAGTTCATGAACAGTGAAGATCACTGCAGTAATAAGCTAGCCATAAACATATATAGAAATCAACAAAAGTAGAAAGATGTAATAGACTGCCATTGTAGCCAAGGGAGAGGGGTACCTATTGGTGTGGGCAATATCAGTTGGTTATAAGTAGTTTGGAGGAAAAGTCAGTGAGTTTGTCAGAGGTGAGACTGAGAGAGGGAAGTAAGCTGGAATATGCATATAAAGAGAGAAATAGAGCCGTTAAAAGGAAAACAAGCATTGTTACCCAGTTCTCATTTTCCTCATTTCTATATTCTGACTTTCCAGTCTATTACAGAAGAATAGGACATACATAATTCAAAAATTAGCAACATGACAGACAACAGTAATGAAAGAGCAGAAACATTACTTCTCCTTAGATGGCTGGATAAAATATATAGCATCCATTGTGGGTAATGGCTGCCTTCTTTTATATATGTCTTCCACCACTGTTTCAGCAAATAAAATAAATAATTAAATAATATGATAACAACAACAACAATAACAACAAAGCCTTAGTGCCAAAATGATTTGAGGTAGGCTAACATGAATCGTCATAAGGAACCCTGCGATATAAAGAAAGGTACATAACAAGATAATCAAATGAAAGAGTTCGAAAAAAAAAAGGTGAGAAAAGAAAGAGCATCCAAGAAAAATTTAGGGAGTTTTAAAAGAGAACCAAGAAAAAAAATTTAAAAACTTTTGAAGAAATGGTTTAAACGTTGGAGTAAAAAAACGATAAAGGTTTGAGAAAACTTTAGCAAAGGAAATCAATATTGTTCATAAAACACTAATGGGAGAAAAATAATAATGGTAAATACTAATATAAATTTTAATATATATATATATATATAATCATGACACGTCGTTGACATGAATTTTCTCCCTCCACACCACCCTATCCAGCATCAGTTTTTCCTCAATCCCCAAAGCACTCATGTCACTCTTAATCACCTTCTTCCAAGTTTTCTTAGGTCTTCCCCTACCTCTTGCAACCCCAACATTTTGCCATTCTTCAAGCCTCCTTACCGAAGCATCACTTGGTCCCCTTACATGGCCAAACCATCTTAACCGATTCTCCCTCATCTTGTATTCAATCAATATAACCCCTACTTTCTTCCTAATTACCTCATTCCTTTATCGATCCTTACTTGTATGGCCACACATCCATCGCAACATACGCAACTACGCCACATTATGGACATGGCAATGCTTTACGGCCAACATTCTCTAACATATAACAACAAAGTAGGCTTTATTGTCACAGAATTTCATTTATAATCTATGGGGCACGCCGGGATCACATAAAAAAAACTCGTTGCACTCTTCCACTTCAACCAACCCATTTTGATCCTATGAGCAACATCTCCATCCTTTTGAATAATAAATCCATATATTCGACAAAAGACACAAAAGCAATAAAATAGCAAGTTTATCGTCAATCAAACTTTAAACCTACAATTGTTTCCAGGTTTATTATTTGGCATCCCCTTTAAAGGTTTAATTATTAGTAGATTATTTTGACACAAAGTAAACTTGTAAATGTTATATATAATACTGTAATTTTTGAAGAAAAATAATTAAATTAAATAAAACCATAGGTGGTCAATGCAGTTCGAAATCAAAGTTCACGCTCATTTTAGTTTTCGAAATAAAATGAAGCTTTAATGTTTCAAACTAGTTAAAGTGTTATCCATAAGACCCCTAGTAAGCATAGCAATAATCTACAACTATATAACAAATTCTTCACCTATGAAAATCTACTATGGATGGCTCTTCTTCCATCCCTCTTTATTTCTTCTTATATAGTGAAAGAGATTAGATTTGTTTATCATTGACACCAACTTTGCCTAAACATCGAATCCTATTCAATCAATGTAATTTCTTTAATTTAATATTCTCTGATTCCTTTATCACTTATATTGTATATATTCTTAATATAAGTCTCTATCTCATAACATTAGAGATCAATCTTTTTCACTCTTTCTCTTTCCTTTTTTTTTTTTTTTTGTCCTTACTCATAATCCGTTTAGGTCCCTTCTTTTGTCCTATTCACCTCTACTTTATTCTATTTTTGTCGAGTCTCTTTTACTATCAATCTCCACATACACTATCTAAGAACTTTGCTAAGAACAAGGTTTTGCCGTTATGGGTAATCAGTCGAAATTGGAAAACCAACCTGCATCATGAATTATTTAATTCATTCACATAATTCCTCCATTCTCTTTCATAGTAGCATTTTGACCTTCATGTTTGACAACGCATCACTTAAACTCTTTATATCTCTAATTATAGATATTTAAAAATATATAAAAATTTGATATTATGAAAATATATATCAATATGAATCTAACAAGATCCACATGAATATATGTTACCTAACATATAATACAACAAAAAAGATCAAATAGAAGAACGTGATAAGTGCAAACTTCAAAATGTTGCAACCAAAAGAAAAAGAGCTAGTTTTTTCACATTTCCAGAGCGTGTCGAATGACACAACAACCAAATATAGAGTGGTCTTATATGAAATTTATTAAATCTAGAGGGTCCACCACCATGTCAGACGCGACACCCAAATCCGAATATGAGTATCATAGTTTTCATTTATCTATGTGGCATCATTACTATGAGAGCTTACAAGAGGCAAAATTTCCTTTTAAATTTAGTTTACTTCACTTTGCATATGTGCACCACTTTTTTCTGTGGAAAGTAATTTCACTTCTACAAACAAACTAATTACCATCTCAACTTTATCTAATATCTAGTTCGTTTAGTTTAAAAAGCACATCCTCAATAACGGCGAGGGCAACCACCTAGATCTTGCTAAGGTCAACACATTCCAAAAGCCAAACAAAAGAGCACACAAGCCAGCGCAACACCTAGCCACTCAGGTTCAAAAGCGAGAGAAAGTGTAGAGTAGAACTGCGTCAAAATTGTAAGGAACCATCAATACTTTTTTCAATTACACCTTTCCCAATCTTTAAGAAGCTATTTCCCCCAATTGAAAAGCCCTAATTTTATAAAACCCTAAATCTAAAGATCTCTAGGTCATATATCTATAAAAATCCAACCATTTGTACATCGCAATACATATTACCAATCTAATCGGCAACCACCACAATATTTCTCTCACATAACTAGCCTCATTTTTTACTACAAGAATTTAGTGTTCGCACTTTAAAGATACTAAATTTTGTGAGTAATTACCAACTAATTATTGAGCTTTGAACTAAAAATTATTATTTTTGAAAATCGACTACCGATAAAGTGATTAACAATCTTTATTTGACTAGCACTAAAAACTAACAATTGCTTAAATTTCCAATGATGGTGGGTTTTGAGTAAAAGTTAAATAATTTTGATGGAGGATATTGGAATTACGGAGAGAAGGAAAAGTTAAAAAATTTAAGGGGAGTTAATTATGATAAGTGGAGATGTGGGGCCTAGCAACAACAACAAAGCCTCAATCCCAACATGATGATGTAGAGCCTACTTACAAAAATTATTAACAGATAACATTAATAAAATTTCCTAGCGAGTTAAAAAAAAAAAAAGTATCCATTGTGAACAAGTATTTGAATCTCATAAAAACTATCCATCAATAGAAGGGCAAAAAGAAATCAAAGACTTTTATAGGGAAACCATTTCATTATTTAATCTAATATCATTACAAACATGTATAAGAAGTCATTTACATTTTAACCTTATAGAACAAAAACAATCATCTTAACATGAGTCCATGACATCATCACCTTCTTAGGCACAATACATTTTTGTTTAAAGTTTAAACAATTTCAACTAAAAATAAGATACCCTTATAAACAAGATGACATCATAAACATAATGAAATTATAAACAAATGAAAGCACGATTTAGGTCTAGATTCCCATAAATCACAATTTCCGCTCCCAAGAATGCAAGTCTTGTTTGTTATTCATCTATTCAAGTCAATTTTGTAAACATCATTTTTCCTCAATTATAAGACAATTATTCCTGACATCCTCCACATGATATAAATCCCTCAATTCTATGATGGATTGATTTTTAGCTTGAGTATTCCTTATTGAAAATACCTTTTATCTACTCTAGTAACCTTGGCCATGGCTTCCAAAGCCCCCAGACAATTACCACTATCAGGCTAACTAAACAGCCCCTAGACCCCAATCATAGTCCCTAACAATGAATTATGATGCAGCTTCGGCATAACTGAAGGTGTACTAGCAGAAGGTAGGCATTCTCAAAAAAAATCTAGTTCACATTTCCAAAATGATCTTCAAATATTAAAGACATGATACCCCCACCTCCCTATACTATTCTATCAACAACATCCATGACCACTATCACTAAGAGCTATAAACAACAAGGCATAAAATTGAGGACATACTTTATTTCAGGCCTGGCACAAGTTCCAGAGAGACTCACAGACACTAGAGAATTCAAGGAATAATACTGTAAAAACCCTTGAATCAGCACAGCTACAAAATGTTAAAAATAAACTAAAAATAGCAAGAAATTTAACGGGAACAGGATAGTAACAGCACTATGAATTAACTGCTGTAAGCACCTTGTTTTCTGTTTCCATAAGGTCACAAATAACATCATGAGCTTGGTTAGCTATATAGGTCCAAAATTCAGAGGAATAAGTGGGTTTTATTTACTTACATGAGACTCCCGCTTCGGTGATGTCAGCCATTTTGCAAGCATAAGACATTATCTTAACCGTTAATCTGTCCATGATGAGAACCTAAATAAGGTGCACCGGACAGACAGATATGAATTATGATCACATAAAACGCCAACCATAAGTCACCCAAATGATAGGGAAAGAGATGAATACAAAACAACAAACTAACAGAATTTTTGCGGAGACCATATATACTGCAGTCTCCTCAACTAAATGGGCAACTTAATTTTCTATTTCAGAATTTTTGAGCTATATCATCAAATAGAAAAGAGGAAAAGGAGCCATCAACACCAAATTTAATCCATATATACCTTCCAAGTTGACCGAGAGTCCCCCTTCTTTGTTGATCCAAGCATTTCATGAAGCAACCCTGATTCAAACATAACACAAAAATGGAAGGGAACTTCAATTAAGTTTGACAAATAACAGATAATAAAACCATGTTTATTTGAAATTGACCTTTTTCTTTTTCATTTGCATGATAGACTAGTTGATCATCTTTCTATTTCTATTTGAATGTGATCTACAATGAGATACAAGGAGGGAAAACTAAATACATTAAATTATTCACTGCTGTAATTGTAACTACCACATACGAAGGGTATTAAATTGAATAGTAACTCAAAAGCTGATACAAATCTGTTTGTTGGTTCCCTCCATCAAAGATATCATAATCTAAATGACAGTCATCTCAACCTTTATGGAGTCTTTGTGCAGATACCATTCTAAAAACTAGTACAAATTTTTAGCTCATCAATCATTGCTCATCCAAAATAAGCTTTTGATACTCCCTGTTTTTTTTTTTATTGAAATAGACTCACCATTCCTATAAAAGTGACAGCTGGTTAACCATCCCACAAAATCTAACAATAATTTAGTATTTAAATACAAAAATATCAGTTATTTTCTAAGTTCAGATGTAATTCGACAAGTAGATTCCGATTCAACATATTTACACTGGTTCATTAGATTGCCTTAAACCTTCATCACAAATCATCAGCTAGGGTGTAACAGTAGACAAGAGACTTACGATCACGAGTAATTTGCCGAAAGTACTTATGATCGCCAGTATGTGAACTATCTGAATCCGACATCGACATCCTAAAAGTAAAGGCAAATATAAATCAATTATCAAATTAGGCTCAAAAATTCACATAATTTTCTTATCTAGCAACAAAATCGCTCATTATGAACTGGCTGCACCCCACTTAATCAGCCTGAGAAACAAATTGGTGTAAATCAGGTGGCATTTTGGTTATCATTTGCATTGGGATGCACAATATATTCATATAATATTATTTTGTACATTCATTTACATGAATAATAGAAAAGGCTTTACTAAGTTGGAGTTACGGCCGTTAGTAATGTCATTTGTTGATTGTGAAGGTAACACAACTCTAGGTTCCTCGAACACATCTGTTTGAAGAGGGAGGATAAGGGGGCACCATATGAGGCGCTCTGCAGCGACATCTGCGAGATCGTGATCTACTGAGTTTCTAGAACTAACATACCTATATTGAAATTCAAATTCAAAACCAATTTCAACACTTTCAACACTACCATATACATAATCAAACGCTATTCGGGTTCCATAACCCATGTCAATAATTCTTACACAAATGATTAACTAAACAATTCAAATCAATACCAACTTCAACAGATTGAAATTCAAATAAAAAAACCTTTTTCTTCATATTATACACTGGTATTGCTCTAATCGAATCAAATACATACCTGGAAGATGAAATCAACGTCTAGCTTCGATTACCAATAGTTCAAAATCCACGAAGAACCCTAAATAGACTAAACTGACAATTAAAATTTCGCTTAACCCTAGATTGCAAAATTGATGTTCAATCATCACAAAATGAAACCTCTTACCTCAGAAGCAGTTTCAATGAAGAATAGAAAAATTAGAAGTCGCCTCAATTCAAATTTGGAGTGCGATTCAATGGGAAACTAGAGGGAAAGAGCGTGGAGGAGAACAGACGTAGTTATGTGCTTCTTGTTTTTTATTTATTTTAGAATTTTTCATTAGGTATAAGTTAGGTCTTGTTTGGCATCAGTTTTAGTTTTCAGTTTCTTTTTTTGGAAAACCAAAAACAGGAAATAAGAAAAAGGTGTTTCCACTTTTCTATTGTCATTTTTCAAAATTATCATAATTTTAATAAGTTTATATAATTTTTGATTAATTATGGGACTCATATCATATACAATTATATTACAAAAAACCAAAAAACAGAAAACCACAGCAATGTCAAACGAACCCTTAAATTTTGGCTCAGAGCAAGATTGGTCTTGTCTGGTGTTCAGATTTTAATAACACAATTTTTTTTAATTCTTTTTCTCTCTCTTCTTTTCTTCTTCTCCAAGCTTAGAAAAAATATTAAAAAATAAATAAAATAAATAATAAAATAAAAACATTTTGATTTTCTCTCTCCTCAAACACTTTTTACACTCCCATCATCTTCTCTCTCTTAAAACCATTAATTTTTCTCTAAAATCCATTGTAACTGCTCCAAAATTTAAGCAATTTTGTTCTACTTTTTCTCAAATTCAACAAATCTTAGTCAAACTTACATATAAACAAGTTGAAGTGACCAATTTGATTAGAATTTTTGCAACTACGAACCCTATTATGACAAAAGAACAAATTGAAGAAAATTTGAATGGAATGAGGTGAAGAACAATAAACTCGTACAGAAATTTGTTCTCAAATGCAAAGGTAAGTTATACTCCAAAATTTTCGAAGAATTTGATGATTTTTTGGGCGATTTTTGAATAATATTTTTTTTTTTAACAATTTTAATGGTTGTTAGTGGTACGGGATTTGGTGGTGGTGTGGTGGAGTTTAAGGTTTTGAGGACGGCGGTTGAGAAAGGTTGGTGTTGGTGGTGGTTACGGTGGATTTGGGTGTGGGTTAATGGTTACTGATTAGGGGATTTTTATCCACCAAGCGCCGTTTGACAAGTGGACCAACCAGGTTCCGCCACGCGTCCTCCACGGACCACTTAAGACACGCCACGTGTCCACCCATGCCAAATGGGACAACCGGCCATCAAGGCCCATTTCAGTCTAGAAGCCCGTTCGGCCCTAGGTTTACCTTAAACCTAGAGAGTTGCACGCTTCCCAAGGCTATAAATACTCGATTAATCCTCATTAATCAAAGGACCGAATAATTTACGGAACACACTAATAACCGGCTGATCTCGCTAGCAAAGCAGATTACCTACATTAAATACTCTCACCTAGAGAGACCTTATTACTTTAAATTCTGTATTAATTACTCCTTAATCAGGTACTAACTTGACCGTTGGAGGCGGAGCTCTCAGGAGTCTCCGTTATTTTGCAGGTACAGGCGTCCGGTTCCAGTCTCGGAATTGTAACTCTCCCGCAGGACATCAGAAAACCCCGAAACATTTGGCGCCGTCTGTGGGGAGAGTACTTCAGAGATGGCATCCAAGTCTGTACCGACCCCAGAAGAGAGGCGTCCCCTAGACGACCCTCTAGTTCAGTCGGACCATGATACCGAAAGTGAATTTGAAGTTGAAACTCATACAGCTCCAGACGGGACCCTAAGGGCCCGCCGTACCCGTCATACTGAAATAAGGGAACGGGAGTATCTTCAAACAGGAAGCGAGCCAGCAGGCGCACCGCTTGCTCGGCAACAGCCGACTGATGGGTCTGCTCCCATCACAAGGAACGAACTCATGACCTTCATGAGGGGATTCAAGGGAGAGATCCAAGAGTTGATCAACAAAAAACCGCCTGCTTCAGTCAAAGAGCAGGCGGCCAAAAAACCTTCCACTTCACTGAAGAGGAAGCCAGTTCAAGGGCGAGAGGCGACTCCCCATCCTAAATCTAAGAAGCGGGAGCCGTCTGCTCTTGATTTCACAAAACTCTGTTATCCTACGGGAAATAGGAAACCGGTTCGTCATATTCAGGCGGACGGGTCAAAGCAAACGTTCACAGATGCTCGGCACCTGCTAGAGCAGAAGAGGAGTGACCGATTATCAGAGTCGGCTTCTACTTCAAATTTTCAGGACAGTTTGCGAAATGCCTCGATGAGGCCAACTCAGTCGTACCATGAGAGTCAGTCAGGCGGCACCTCCCGACAGTCTGGCTTTCATAGTGCGCAGGCGGTACCAAATTTGCCATTTGTGCCGCAACAACAATATTTTATGCAGCCACCTCCATTTGGTGGACCTGCAGCAAAAAACGTCCAACCTATGGACTGGCAGCTACGGCTGCTTAGACTTGGTGAACAGCCGTCGGCCTTCTCCAAGGAAATTACTGAAGCCGCTCAGCCGGCCAAAGTAAAAAATGTTTTAGTAGGCGCCTATGATGGCACTACTAACCCGGAAGACCATCTGATGGCATTCACCAACCTGATGTACCTTCAAGGGTTGGATGATCCCACTTGGTGCAAGTGTTTCCCAGCAACTCTCAAGGGAATTGCACAGCAATGGTTCGGCAACCTGCCGACTGGTTGTGTAAACAGTTTCAGGACGCTTGCTTACTTATTTGCCTCCAACTTTGCAATGAACATCCCTGCGAAGAAAACGACCCTTGATTTGGGAACAATTCAGCAGGGTGAAAAGGAGGGGCTTCGTTCCTACATCAGGCGGTTCAACCTGATGAGAATACAGATTCAAGGGTTACCGGATGAGGTAGCTTATACTGACTTTTTTAGAGGTCTCAAAGACGGGTCTACCTTCAAATTTGATTTAGTTCGAAAAAGGGTGGCGACTCTTCAAGAGGCCTTGATTGAAGCAGAAGCCTATATACAGGCGACTGATCTGTGTACAATGAAACAGTCGGACGGGAAGAGGTTCGACAATAGAGAAGGACGACAGAAACAGTCGTCCAACAAAGATGAAAAAAGAAAAGGGGTCTGGGCGGCTGATTCCTCTAAACAGCCGGCCAAGAAGAAAAAGGAATTCAAACCATACTCCCCAAAGTATGTGTTTAACAAGGATAACCAGTTTATCCTAAAAGAAATAAAGGGACGGCTCTCAATTGAGAAACCGCTCCCCATGAAGGGTTCTGCGAGCAACCGGAACCAAGACAAAATCTGTGCTTATCATGATGACATTGGTCATCACACCAACGACTGCATTAGTCTCATGCGGTACCTAGACCGCTTGGCTGATCAAGGTGATCTTGACACTTATGTCAAGAAATCTACGGGGAATACTTCCTCAAAAAAGCAGTCGGCCAAAAAGAATCAACAGGCCGACAGTTCCGATACAGATGATGCAGTCGTCTACACCATTGCAGGCGGCTTCTCAGGAGGCGGCCCCACTATTAGGGGCAACAAAGATAATATAAGGCGGTTAGATGTAAATTCCGTTCACCAAGAACGACCGTCCAAATATACATTTCCTGAGATTGCCATCACTGAAAAGGATCTAGGAGGAATAAGGGGGCCGCATGACGACCCTCTCGTTATTGAATGTAAAGTGGCCAACCAGAGAGTTGGTCGAATCCTCATAGATACTGGGAGCTCTTCAGATCTCATCAGCAGCAAATGTCTGTCAAAACTGAAATATCAGACGGACTGCATACATCCGGCCTCCCACCCTTTAATAGGGTTTGGAGGAGGAGTCGTCCACCCACTGGGACGAGTTGATCTACCCGTCCGCCTGGGCGAAAAAGGGGAAGGACGACACATGGTAGTCCGATTCCTAGTTGTAGAGGAACTCTCTGCCTACAACATGATTCTGGGTCGCCCAACCCTGAATAGTGCCAAGGCTGTTATAATCCCGTCACTTATGCTGCTTAAGTTTGAAAGGGACAATGGAACAGTCGGCTCCCTAAGGGGAGATCAGAGGATGGCCCGAGAGTGCTATCTCTCGGATGTCAAACCCACTGCTAAGGCCACTGGGTCAAGTGGAGAAAAAACAGACCTTGACAATGTCAAGGAAAGTGCGCCTGTTCAAGAAACAGGCGACAGAAAAAGAAAGGCGTCCCAGACAGAGTCCGCCAGAAAGGCAAGGAAAATAGACGCCTGTTCTGATTCACAACTGATAGTCAGTACAATGGCGAATACGAAGCAACACATCCGGCCATGATCAAATATTTACAGGCGGTCCGACAAGCAGTCGGCTCCCTTGAGAATTTCCATCTGATCCAAGTACCGAGATCAGAAAACAACCAGGCAGATGCACTCTCGAAATTAGCATCATCCGCCTCCTCCGATACTCCTCGAACTGTGTTTTGGGAAGTAATGGAGAAGAGAAGCATCGAGGAAAATCCTATTGGAATTCTAGACAGAAGCTCAACCTGGATGGATTCAATCAGGGCATATCTGACAAACGGTACACTGCCGGATGATCCTCAACAGGCGGCATCACTGAAAAAACGAGCCTCCTGTTTTGAAATGATACAGGGGGAACTGCACAAGAGGGGGCACCTTCAACCCTTCTTAAAGTGTGTTACTCCTGAAAAGGGACGAGAGATACTAGATGATCTTCACTCTGGTTTCTGTGCTTCCCATATAGGTGGTAGGATGCTTGCTCAAAGGGCAAGGCGGCAGGGCTACTTTTGGCCTACTTTGGAAGCAGATGCAATGGAGATGGTGAAAAAATGTGACAAGTGCCAAAGGTTTGGCAAATTAATTCACCGTCCGGCTACTGACCTCACTACCATTCACAGCCCACTACCGTTTGCTAAGTGGGGCATGGACATTCTGGGTCCAAATACGCCTGCTACAGGCGGCAGAAGGTATATACTTGTTGCCGTTGACTACTTCACTAAATGGGTAGAGGCGGAGGCTGTAAAGGGAATCAAGACGAAAGATGTAATTTCATTTGGAAAAACGTCATCACTCGGTTCGGGGTTCCCATGTCTATGGTTTTTGATAATGGTCCCCAATTTGAGACGCCTGTTCTCAAAAGCTGGTTGGGAGACCAAGGAATTGGACATTACTTTGCATCTGTCGGCCGTCCACAAGCAAACGGCCAGGTAGAAGCCTTTAATAAAATCATCTCAGACGGTCTCAAGAAAAAAATTGAACGAGCAGGCGGCCTATGGGCAGATGAACTACCACATGTTCTTTGGGCCATTAGGACGACTGAAAAAGGGGCGACTGGAGAAACTCCATTCCTCCTAACTTATG